ATTAACTAACAAAATTTCGTGTCTCAAAAGCGGTTTGTTTATTCCTGCTACTTTGTAAGTTTTATTACCCATAATATCATATTCAATTTTATCGATATTGAATATTTTATTAGACCATTTAGAGTTATACTCCTTTCTGTCGGTGTAATTACCCCTTTTCTTTTGGAACACTTTTACCTTGTCGTTCTCCTCTATTTTGGGATACTTTCTTTTGTTTTTTTCTCGTAGTTTAAGATTGACCTTTACATTTATTTCATTGTCGTCCTTGTGTGCATCGGTCGGTGTCATCCTTGTTGATGAGTGAGATGTGCTGTTATACTGTTTCAATGCTTGCGTTAGGGCATCGGTCCATTTCATGTTGTTAAACCTAACTCTATCGTGAATTTTGTTTTTCATCGTTCTAATAAAACGCTCGGCCACATTTGCGTGGGTCTTCGTGACGATGTGGTTTATTCCTTCACTGTTGAAGAAATCCTGAACTTGATTTTTAGTTGCAAACGCTCCGTCGTCATCAGAATACACGGACATCGGATAACCCATCTTTTTAAAGCTTGCTCTCAACGCCTTCAAAACGTGCTCTCCGTCTCTTTCCTCCATCGGTATTACATCTGCTAATTTACTGAAGATGTCAATCACGACTAAAGCATACTGTGGAACGTTCTTGTCTTTTGCTAAAGGTGACATATGCATTATGTCTATTTGATATTCATATCGTGCGAATGGAGCGGTATAGGAATTAGTACCTCTATAATTTTTGATTTGTTTATTTGGTTGTTTCTTTAAGAAAGACTTTACATCGTCTAATGTTATTGTTGGGTCTTCTTCCTTTGCCTTCTTGTGTGTCGCTTGTGTGCTTCCGAAACCCTCGTCTAAGTCGTAATAGATGTTGCTGATTATTTGGTCTTTTGTTAATCTCGCCATTATATTAAATTGTTAGAAAATATTTTTTCAATAAAAACCCCGCCCCTTAACATAAAATAAAAAACTACTTAAAGAAATATTAACTTATTATATTAAGTGAAAATATGACTGAACATGTCGGAGTGATTGCTGACTTATCAAACTGGGTGCTATCAGACGAAGAAGATGATGATAATGACAGTTATAAAAAGGAATTAGATGACGAGTTAAACAAAATAAAGGATTTCATCAAAAGACACCCTTTGCCATCAGTTGATGAAAACGAAGAATTCTGGAAAGATGTTATTAACAGGTTTAGGGATAATAGCGGATTAAACTTGATGACAATATACTCATTTGTTAGGTTTGACATCATGAAAGAAATGTATGAAAACCTAACAGATGAAGTCATCATAAAAGACTGTGGTAAAAAGTTAAACCGAGATGGACAGTTTAATGCTATGATTATTAATCACTATATCTTATCGGGAGCGATACGGAAACTAAACACAGAAGACAGTCTAGTAGATGGTCAGATGCGAATTATTGAATTCTGGTGGGATGGAATAGGTGGATGGAAAGCATGAGTGATTTAGTTTATTCATATTACTTAATTATAATATGATTAAACAATGTAAACTTTTATAACCTTTCATTATACTATAATTTTAACTTATAACAAACTTTCAATAACAAAAACGATGACAAAACAAACAAACCACCAACGCCCCAGAACTTGATAACTACTAAAAGGGCTAACTCTTTCAAATGAAAAAAATGTTTGCCCCTAGCCCAACAATGAACAAGGGGGGCAATTACCCAAATGATTACCTTAACGAAAACCATAAATAAGCTCCCTAAAAACCCTCTTTTCAAAACGAATAAGGGGGAACACAGATTTGAGATTAACATAAAAACCAGAACAGGCAACCATCAACAGGCCACCCCCCAGGCCCCCTACTTTTACCATTTTTTCCCCTAACCCCTCCCCAGGGGGGGTCCACGTACCACGCGGTGATTCGAAGACGCTTCACTAAATCTGTTCATTGTGCGGGCTTGCGCAACTCAGTTTGTCAAAAACATTGGGGTGTTCGATTTCCCCCGGGTGCGCTTTCGCATCCTTAGCAGCTCCAGCGGCACATCGCCAGCATCACCTGCATCATCCGCATCAGCGCCTGCCAAGGATGCGGATGATGCAAGTGATGCTGGGGATGTTGCCTATGCTGGTGAACCCCCCCCCAGTTCCTTGTTGAGATCATTTATTTCCCCCCTTTTCCTTCTAAGGCCTTTTCCCACCCTCAGTTCTTCTCCCTTTTCCTCCCAAAGATCTTTCCCCCCCTTTCCTCCCTAAGTCCTTTTCCCTGAGTTCGTCTCCCTTTGCCTCCCTAAGATCTCTTCCCCCCTTTCCCGCTTAAGATCCTTGCCCCCGTTTCCCCCCTAAGGCCTTTTCCCCCCAAGATCTCCACCCTTCTCTTCCCAAAGTTTTTTTCTCTCTTTCCCGATTGAGATCCTGTCCCCCGATTGCCCCTTAGGGCCTGTTCCCCCCGAGAAAGATTTTCCTTTTCCTCCCAAAGATCTTTTCCCCCCTTTCCCCCTTAAGGCATTTCTTCCCCAGATCTTCTCCCTTTCCTCCCTCAGATCTTTCCCCCCCCTTCATTTCCAGATCTTAGGGAGGAAAGGCAGAAGATCTGGGGCAAAAAGGCCTTAGGGGGGAAAGGGGAGAAATGATCTCAACAGGGCAAGGGGTGGAAAAGATCTTCGGGAGGAAAGGGAGAAGATCTGGGGAAAAAAGGCCAACAGGGAAAGGGGGGAAAAGATCTTAGGAAGGAAAAGCGAGAAGCTCTCAGGGGGGGAAAGGCCTTGGGAGGGAAAGGGGGGAAAGGATCTCAACAGGGAAAGGGTGGGAAAGATCTTAGGGAGGAAAGGGGGGGGAGATCTTCCCCCCTTTCCCTCCCAAGGCCTTTCCCCCCCATGAGAGCTTCTCCCTGTTCCTTCCTAAGATCTTTTCCCCCCTTTCCCTGTTGGGCTTCCCCCCCTAAGTCCTTTTCTCCCAGATCTTCTCCCTTTCCTCCCTAAGATCTTCCCCCCCCCTTTCCTTCCTAAGATTGTTTCCCCCCTTTCCCTGTTGAGATCCTTCCCACCCTTTCCCCCTGAGGCCTTTCCCCCCCTGAGAGCTTCTCCTTCCTTAGATCTTTCCCCCCTGTCCCTGTTGGCCTTTTTTCCCCCAGATCTTCTCCCTTTCCTCCCTAAGATCTTTTCCACCCCTTTCCCTGTTGAGATCATTTCTCCCCTTTCCCCCCTAAGGCCTTTGCCCCCAGATCTTCTCCCTTTCCTCCCTAAGATCTTTCCCCCCCTTTCCCTGCTCAGATCCTTTCCCCCCTTTCCCCCCTAAGGCCTTTCCCCCCCTGAGATCTTCTCCCTTTTCCTCCCTAAGATCTTTTGCCATTTTTCCCTGTTGAGATCCATCCCCCCTTTCCCCCCTAAGGCCCTTTCTCCCTCTGAGTTTTTCCCTTTTCCTCCCCACGATGTTTTCCCCCCTCTCCCTGTTGAGATCCTTTCCCTCCTTTCCCCCCTAAGGCCTTTTTTCCCCCTGCGATCTTCCCCCTTTTCCTTCCTAAGATCTTTTCCCCCCTTTCCTTGTTGAGATCCTTTCCCGCCCTTTCCCCCCTAAGGCGTTTTCCCCCCCAAGATCTTCTCCCTTTTCCTCCCTAAGATCCTTTGCCCCCTTTCCCTGTTGAGATCCTTTCCCCCCTTTCCCCCCTAAGGCCTTTCCCCCCCTGAGATCTTCTCCCTTGTCCTCCCCAAGATCTTTTCCCTTGGTTGAGATCCTTTCCCCCTTTCCCCCCAAGATCTTCTCCCTTTTCCTCCCTAGGATCTTCTCCCACCTTTCCCTGTTGAGCTCCTTTCCCCCTTTTCCCCCTAAGGCCTTTTCAGATCTTCTCCCTTTTCCTCCCTAAGATCCTTTGCCCCCTGTCCCTGTTGAGATCCTTTCCCCCTTTCCCCCCTAAGGCCTTTTCCCTGCCTGGGACCTTCTCCCTTTTTCACTGAGATCTTTCCCCCCCTTTCCCTGTTGAGATCCTTTCCCCTCTTTCCCCCCTACGGCCTTTCCCCCCGCTGAGATCTTCTTCCTATTCCTCCTTAAGATCCTTTGCCCCCTTTCCCTGTTGAGATCCTTTCCCCCCTTCCCTTTAAGGCCTTTCCAGATCTTCTCCCTTTCCTTCCTAAGATTGTTTCCCCCCTTTCCCTGTTGAGATCCTTCCCACCCTTTCCCCCCTCAGGCCTTTCCCCCCCCTGAGAGCTTCTCCCTTTTCCTTCCTTAGGTCTTTCCCCCCTTTCCCTGTTGGCCTTTTTTCTCCCAGATCTTCTCCCTTTCCGCCCTAAGATCTTTTCCACCCCTTTCCCTGTTGAGATCATTTCTCCCCTTTCCCCCCTAAGGCCTTTGTCCCCAGATCTTCTCCCTTTCCTCCCTAAGATCTTCCCCCCCCCCCGCTGAGATCCTTTTCCCCCTTTCCCCCCTAAGGCCTTTCCCCCCCCTGAGAGCTTCTCCCTTTTCCTTCCTAAATCTTTTCCCCCCTTTCCCTGTTGGGCTTTCCCCCCTAAGTCCTTTTCTCCCAGATCTTCTCCCTGAAAGGGAGACGATCTGGGAGATCTTAGGGAGGCAAAGGGAGAAGATCTCAGGGGGGAAAAGGCCTTAGGGGGGAAAGGGGGGAAAGGATCTCAACAGGGAGAGGGGTGAAAACATCTTAGGGAGGAAAAGGGAAAAAAACAGAGGGAGAAAAGGCCTTCGGGCGGAAAGGGGGAATGGATCTCAACAAAGAAAGGGGGGCAAAAATCTCAGAGGGGAAGGGGGCAAGGGGACAATTCCAAAGGGACGCAAATAAGAAAGCAGGCCTGTAATGTCGGCGGCCTGAGCCGGAGGCACTAAAATTGAAAAAATGTGCAAGTCCCCCGGATGTTGTGGGGAAGTTTAGTGTGTGTCCCCCATTTCCCCACCATAAGGACCATAGGCTGTCAATCATTTTGACCGAACCTGCTCCACAGCGTTGATCCAGGCCCAAAATCCAGGGCTCCGAGGTGAAACTTTTCCCTGAGCTTCCAGCCTTGGACGCGATTGCCGCAGCCGCCACTGTGGTGCTTGTCGTAGCGGTCGTTGCCGCTGTCGTGGCAGGCCCTGTGATCCACGTGCTGACCGTGGCCGCCGTGGTGGCTACCGTCGTCGCCGCCGTGGTGGCTGTGGTGGCCGCAGCGGTGGTCGCCGCGGTGGTGGCCGGCACTGTGGTCGCCGGCGCGGTGGTCGCTGGCGCAGTTGGTGCGGCACTGGTCACGGCGGCCTGGCGTTGGCCCCAGGCGAGCCCAAGTCCCCATGCCCGGAAGCACTTGACGTCGCTTGACTCATCGATCCCCAGTGCATGACCCCCAACGAAAATGTGTTGGGAAAACCTTAAGACTGCCAGGCTTTGATAGGCTGATCTTTCGTTGGTTGAGTCCTTTTGCAGACTACCTGATTGGGCAAAATGTATGGCCTGCCGAACACCCAAACACAAGACCCGGCCGCCCAGGAAAGATTCTAGAAATAACCCAAGTGAATCACGCCCTGTCGGACTATGGACAACACGTGCGGCCAATTGAGGTCTTTCGCCATGAGCGCTTTCCCCAAAACGCGCCTGGGCCACGTGGGCCGGACGCTCCTTGTGCTCAGGACCTCAGAAGGCTGCAAGCCGCAGAAAGGGTCCAACTCGACTCGATTTCCCAGAAAAAGTAGAGGTGGAAGAAGACAAACTTCCTCTATAGTCCTAAACAAAGGCTTAAAACAACAACTGCTGGGTCAACTTTGATCGGCTTGCCCATGCTTCCTGTGCAGCTCAACTGTGGTTTTAACTTGACGACGGCGACTCGCAGGCGACGCGCGCTTTTGTATGTGCGCAGAGCCTGTGTTCGAACACACAATCGAATCCTATAATATATATGTATATTTAATTATATATATGTACTCGGACAGGACTCGGCTGCGTACTGCCTACGCACCTTTGAAGGCAGAAATGGTGAAAATCTATCCTCAACTCGTGCACATGTGGAAAAAAAGGGCCCTTTCCGAAGCAGCTGCAACCTCCCGTCTCTTTTTTGGGGGCCGGTCCCCCAAAGGAGACTAGGATTGACTTACAGTAAAACGGCGTTCTGCCTATCAAATTAACGGAAAAAGCCCAACAAAGGGGGCCATTCTGCATTTTGCTCTTTTTCGAGGCGTGTGTGGGACAGTGAGCTTCTTCCCATTCCAACTCTGTGACTCTTTTTGGGGGTGATTGGTAGGTGGGCCCGTGACAACTCAGGCTCAACTTTGGAGGCAACGGGCCAAAGAGGGAAATTCCCAATTGGGAAGAAACAGAAGCCTTGAGCATGAGGCTCCAATATCAACCCAAGGGCTCTCATCTGTGAACACACCCGGCGACGCTTACACCTCAAGCACTGGGGTGCCCGGCACTTGGCAGCGGCAATGCCAACCTGCTTCGCGTCCAAGTCGAAGATGATGTCCTGGCGCCAAGTTTTCGGCTGCCAGTAGGGAGCCGATCCCCTCTCAGCTACCACCCCTTGCACTCACTAAAATAAGATCCTGATAAGGCATTCAAGGCCTTATTTGGAGGAAAGCAGGAATTAGGGGAGGAAAAGGGAGGTTGGATCCTATGCCGAACGCGACCCCTCGCTGACATGCTGCGCTGTCTTGCAAGACGACCCTCATGCGTGCAGGAACTTGTCCACATCCCTCTTTACCACTACCAAGTGCAGCGTGATTTGGATCAAATCTACAACTGGGAAGGTAAAAGAGATGTGACGTAGCTTGTGGACTGCAGGATCATGCTATTTCCCACCAATTCTCAAATGTTTCTTCGAGCCATGTTTGGCACTGTGCAGTCTGACCTGCTCAGATAGCTAGCCTGAAACAGTTCAGACTTGTTGGGCATGTACACAAATAAAGAAGCTCATCAACAAAGTTTGCAAACTCAACGCGCAAGTGGTAAATTGTGTGAGACACAATCGAAATCTGGTATTAAAGCTATTAAAGCGGTCTTTCCAATTCAGGTAAACAATCCAAGGGCGTCTGCACCGTTTGAAGGCTAGGACGGTCCCCTACTAACCTTTCCTTACACAGGTTTTGATTGTGGCTCGTGTACCATCCCTTGCAGCCGGCCTTGTGCATCATCCACACCGCGCCCAGCACGGTGTTGGCATGAGGCCCGTCATCTTCGAATCCATAGCAGTAGCTATTGGTAGAATGCTTCCTGGCAACGGATCGATCGGTCAAAGTCCTACAACTCCGATTTGCGAAGATTTCCCCAGAGGGACATGGGACAACTAGGGTTCGCGCCACGGTTTTTGTGGCAACAATGAGTGAGTTCCCCATGGAAACTTTACACCCAGGGCAATTCAAGGACCTTCCAACAAATCGACCGATCGTTTGGCCTCACCGTGGCAGGAACAGGATCTGGAAAAAGGTTGTTTCGCAGCCCCACCCAAACCGCTTCCCTTCAAACAGCGGGGCTTTCGGCAAAGGGTGCCAACCACCATGCCATATTTTTTGACCAGCCCCGTCCGTGAAAACAATTGGCAGTAATTAATTGTCAAACGCATCCACGGTTTTGATGTAAGAACACTGTGACACAAATGCTATGGCTAAAGTGACTATTGGTGTACTTGAACTTGTGTTTCATGGACAAGCGCGGTACCAAGCACACCTTGGACTATGCGCAAATGGCAAAAGGGGACGGGTCCTCTTTGCTGACTTAAACACCTGCAAAAAGTCGTTTCTCCAAATATCCCATGATGGCTTCCTTTCGGCCCAGGTATGCCAATACCTAGCGAGCCGAGCATCGAGCGGCCGCGGTATTGCAATGCCCCTCCGCCCAATTGCATCCTTAAGGGGGCGCGCAACACCTCTCTAATTTGCTGCCAGGCCTGTAGAAGTATGCTTGAGGCACCCAGGCTGTCTCTACAGACCCGAAGACCACCATGATGGTCGGGAACCTTGCTGCGTTTGACCAGAGTTTTGCCATTGACCCCAAGAGAGAAGGATCCCTTGCCCGAACCTTCGTATCAATCGCGGTTTGGTCATTGCTTTAACTGGGTTAAAACATGGTTGCAGAGGGGCCGGGCATTGATTGATACGGCAACCTGATTCAAGGTCCAGCGGCGCAATCAGTACTAAGGTTTTTCTGTGAGCATGCCAATCAACGTCATGCAAACACGCACCGCTCTTGAACCAAGTGTGCCCACACCAGTTCAGCTGACAAAGACAAAGCTCCTTGCAATGCGCATCGCTTCCTGCCCTTGTGATGAGCAGCGGGGCGTGCTTGAATGGGAAGTGTGAACAAATGGCTGATACACTCATATCGAGCCGATAGCAAGGGGAGCCATTGCGCCTAACAATGTCTCTCAGCTTCCCTACTAGCTCGGTGGTAGATTGGTTGGGGGTTGTAGTCTGTTGAAAAGATGCAAGAAGAGATCCATGTTGTTTTTGTTAGCGTCCGGAATATATAACGGCCCCACTAGTTGTGCAAGTTTGGGGTTGGAAACCGCCCCTCTGAGGTGGCATTGTGTTTGGGGGGGCTAATTTCGACACCGCTGCAACTGCGGTCCTGCTCGCAGATGTCGGTTCGTGCTGTTAACTGACGTAATGTTGGCTTTGGTTCTCTTTTCGCGCATTGCCCGCTTTTCTGTCAATCTTGAGTCCTGTCCCAACCTGGCACTGCAGTTTTAGCTTCGCACGGAATACTGCAAGTCGTTTGGGCGAGCCTGTGCTGGACCCTGCTCTTGAGGTGACTCTGTCCATTGCGGCGGATCCAACAGGACAACTTCGCGATCATGCACTGTCACCCCTGGGCCAGAAAACTTGCTGAACAGCCCAGAAGCTTCTGGCGGAGTGAGCTACTCTCTTCCCAAGAATTCTGGAAGCTGACAGGCTAGTGTGCTCCCCCCACAAGTTGAGGATTTCTCTGACGTGAGAGCAGGCGCCCGGGCTTATCCACGCCATGGGTCAGCGTCCAGCAGTTGCGCCCGTGCTTGGTGCCGCCGCACCTGCCACCTGCAAAGGCGCCCGGCACACAACAAGCCCAAGACACACGCGAACGATCAATCCGGGCAGATTACTATTCCCAAACTGGAGATCAGGAATCTGCGAATCGGTGAGTGAGCTCGTTGTAGTTTACCCGTATCTTGTCCCAAGAAAGTTCCTGCTACAGTGCACACCAGGTAGTGGGGGACAAACCTTTTGTTTTTCAACCTTGGCACGCGTTCAACCGACCTAATCCCTTGTTCAACCTTTGCGCATTTTATTTTGAACTCGCCACCTTTTTCCAACCTTGGCCCGTCTGGCGTGGCCAGGATCGGTCCGAACATCGTGGGAGGGGGCGGGGGGCGGCCGCCCCAGCGAGCGCCAGAGCGAGAATGGCTCACCAATGGGCGGGGGGTCGCCGCTCCCCCCCGCAGCAGATCCGTTCCCACAACAGAACCAGAACCACCCCGCCAAGAGACGAGCGCTACGCAACCAGAGCCACGTAAGAGCAAGAATCATCAACAACCTCGAGCGTCCTGCTGTGAGGGCAGAACCCGCAAAAGTGCGTGCATGCGTGCTTCAAGTGCTTCTTTCCGTTTGCTTCTTTCTTGGTTTCTTGGTTTCTTGGTTTCTTGGTTTCTTGGTTTCTTGGTTTCTTGGTTTCTTGGTTTCTTGGTTTCTTGGCATCTTGGTTTCTTGGTTTGTGTCTTTCTTTCTGTCTTTCTTTCGCTCTTTTTGCGTTCTGTCTTTCTTTCCGTCTTTCTCTCTTGTTCTCTCTTGTTCTCTCTTGTCCTCTCCTTTCTTCTTTGCTTCTTGTGCGCGCGCGGGTGTCTGTGTGTGTGTGGCGTGCGCGTGTCTCTGTGTCTGTGTATCTCTGTGTCTCCGTGTCTATGTTGCGTTGTTCCAAGAAATAGGGCGCAGGTGGAGAACATTGACTTTGCTGCATGCCAGGAGCCTCATATTTGGCTTTTTGGCTATGATCACGTGTACTATCTCTTCTTATCAGTGGGGCACGAATGTCTCCAATTGGAGACTTGCTGTCGCATCAGTTTTTTGCTGGAACCTGTCTTCTTGAGGTGCTTGGCCAGCAGTAGCACGCGGTATGGGGTCGCTGCTCGTCTTTCACCTTTCGGGCGCCACCGAACGGAAGCGACACGTAAGTTGGTGAAAACTTTGGTCGCGCCAAACTTGATCGTTGCAAGTGGGATGAGTGCCACGGCAGTGTCCTTATGTGCCACCAAAACAGGGCATGCTCCTGGCATGTTCCTGTGTGTACTCTTGGAGCAGCCGCTTTTTTCTCCGTGCCGGGCTCTGTGCAATCTGGACACACTTACTAAGCCTCCCCGTGCTTGCGCTTTCGGCCTTGGGGCCTCTTCACTGGCAGCGAATGCAGATCCACTCGGATCTTGTTCAAGGCTTTTGCACAGAAATTGTGCTCGCAGTCGGCATGCAACAAGAATTCGACACAGGTGCAAAGCATGGTGCCAAAGGGCAAGGCCAACTTCCGCCGATTGCGGGGCCAGGCTGAAATGGGCAAGAGTCCCCGCATGACCACTGCGTGATCCAGAAAGTATCTGTCCAAGACATCTATCTGGAGGTTTCGCTGCCCCTCGCAGTCCTGCATCGCCCCGCTCTTTTGCAAGGTTTTGCTTAAGTCCTTCCGATTCACCTCAGACACGATCAAACCGCAGAGGTTGTTTGCGAACTCGCCTGCGATCACTGCGTCTGCAGGCATGGCTGTGCCCACCTTCCGACTTTGCATGGCCCAGAATTGTGTCATGCCATCAGGCGCAACGCTGCCTTGGTTGTCTGTGCGGCGCCAGACTACGCAGAAGTTCTGGCTGCCATGCTGCTTGTTGTCCCGTGCGTTCCAAACGTCCATGGCAGGAGAACGCCCAAGAATGCTGCAAAAAATGCATGCCCCAGGTCTTGGGAATTAGAGGGTGCTTGTCATGGGTGCCGGGGCACCCCCGGTAGCCCGCAAGGTTAAAAAAGCATGTTCGAGAAAGGAGGGAGAGCGAAGGTCAAAAACGATAGTCCTTGAGTTTTGCAAGGGGGGCAAGGCTAAGCAAAAACGGTTAAAGGTTAAAAAATGCCAAGCCCCACTGGGGAAGAGGTTTTGGAGGTTAACCCTAGAGTTGTTGCTTAGAAGCAGCAATCACAATTCAGGTTGCTGGCAACTGACTTAGAAACTTGGAGCCAATAAAAGCCGTCAAGCTTGCGGGCATGTTCATCTCCCCGAGCGTTGGTTTCTGTACATACGGGTGCGTGCACATTGCTAAGAAGGCAATGAGACACCAAACACATCCGGAGGAAGTCTGTTTAAAACCGGGTCCTGTTTGTGGGTTGTCGTGGGCATGCTTTTTCAGGAGCTTTCATCAACAACATGGCTACCAGCGCAATCACGAAATCGGGGTTTTGGGGAGAGTGGCTGCCATTTGTTGGACCCCATGATTGGCGTCATGTTGGTATCCCTTTCAAATGGGAACTTGAAAGGGGATCATGATGTTTGCAAAACAAAATAATGCCGGTTGGTTTCCCCTTAAAGGTCAAGGGGGGGGGACCCCAACCCGTTATTGTCAACCCTCCTTTTCCGGGTTCCTCCAAAGATCTAATTGGCACAAGGCCAGACAATTTTCTCCCTGCCAAAGGGAAATTAGAGGAAATCAAACCATAAACCTATGTTCTTCCCCTGAATTTTGACCCCTGAGCAACCCTGCCCACCATGGGGGGTCTTCAGCAATGGACCCTGCCCCATGGGTTTTTGCTGGTCTCCCTTCAACCCGCCCAAAAAAAGAAATATTACCTTCCGAACCAAAAAACAACATCCATTTGTCCCCAGCCAACAAATGCGACACCCATGTTGTCAACCCCCATCCGTGTTCAACCACCCGTCTTTCCCGCTCGCAGGCTTCGGGCGCGGCAGATCCGCAGCTTCCGCCGGGCCTGAGCAGTAGCTCTCGATGGCCGAGGACAAGGCGCGATAGTTGCTGCTCCGCATGTAGGTGTACCTGCACATGGGGTTAGGTTGCCCAAAATTGACTCTTTTTTTTTAAAGAGGACATGGGAAAATTAGGGTTGCCCCCTGGTGTTAAAATGAGAATGTTCATGAGTCCCCAATGTCCCTCCCAAATGGACCACAGACTGCTGAACTGTTGACCAAATCTCACGTTTGTAAGTGGGGTATGACCTGGGTTACATTGGGCAATCACTCTATTTGTGCCATGGTGAAAATGATCCATTTACTTGGGGTTTGTTGGTAGGGTCCATGTAATCTAGTTGTTTGACATGCCTTGCGATCCGCCGACCCCCTCTGGTTGTCCCAAAATGGGAACTGGACCTCTGGAAGCGGTTGGCTTTCTTTGAGGTTCCTCCGCAACGACTTCAACGGGTGCATCACCTCAACTCCCAATCGACTTAAAGTCAGGGATCCAACGATGGCACTGGGGGAGAACCTTCCGAATGGCCATGAATCTGCAAGGCGTCTTTCCCAAACTGAACAGCATGAGGATCCAAAAATCAGTCGGAGCGCACGTGGTGCCGCTATCGATCATGGTGCTGCCCCAGCTCGTGATGGTTTGACCATTCACCTGAAAAACAGCGACGCGCGCGCGCGCGTGCCAGGAGATCAAGGATTGCAAGAAGTTATATCACTTGTTGAGATATCTCCGTTGTTGCCCCCCCTTGTTTCGGGCTTCATGTTGATGTGCAGGGGAGTAGCTTACTATCATCAGCGTCACCTTCAAGTGATAGGTGCAAGGGAAACAGCCCCAGTTTCTGACTTTGATAATCCCAAGAAGCGGTCAAAACCGTGACTCTGCATTGGTTTGAACAAGCTGCCTCCCCTTTTAGCTTTGAGCCACAGCAATGGGCTTTTGAGGTCGCCTCCGAGGTTCCGAACGCAAGTGCTGGCAACAGAGTCGCTGGGGATTGAGCGAATTTCAGGGACTGCACCGAAGCACCGCCCCCCCCTTTTTGGGCAGGTTCATAGCTTCGTTTGGACCAAAAGCGGACTGTCCTGCCCAGAAGAGGGCAAAAGCAATGACGTATCCACCACGAGGCGAGGCCTTCTGTAGCAAGCGGCTTATTGATCGTTGGAATGACCCCCAATCAACCATCCACCAGGGATAACCATGGGCTTGATTCGTTCAAAAGGCATTCCGTAAAGGTAAACTGACATGAAATCATCGAATCACCTGTTTAATGAGGGTCAGCGCCAACTTGACTCAAAAACAACATCAACATAAGGCATAGGCACACTGCCTTGTTTGAGCACAGCTGTGGCTCCCCTCAATTGAATCTGGCACAAATGAGTCGCTGGTCGGTATGCCACATCAAAATGACCGTTTATGCAATAAAACAGGCGCCTTGAGCGCGATTTGTCCGGAATGTGTCACTTTGCAGGCCCCCAAGCGAGAATGGGGTATGCAAACCAATCAGCACAATACAGTGGCTGCATGTGAAAGTACCCTAGTTTTCTGCAGAGAAGACCAGGGTGCTTGGGGCTACCTGAGTCGACCAAAACGCAGATTGCAAAAAGACGGCGCCCAAGAACCAAAGAGCGGCAAGCCGCTTCTTTTTCTGCGGAGGAATGTACGATCATTCAGCTTCCACTACCCAATTGGTTTTGGCTCACCTGTCAGGAGCTGCCCAAGCACAAATCCCGCATCTGCCTCTACCTGTCTTGCGCTGAAGTCCGCTTCAAAATCAACAAGAGGTGTCCTGGAGTTCCACAAAAGTTCCCGCACTTCACCCCTTGGACCACATGCATCTTTCCTCCCTTGCACCAAACCCATTCGTCTTGCATCTTAAGGGGAAGGCTTCCTGGGTTTCCACAAGAAAAATCAAAAAAACTCGATATCCTCTTGTAGCAACCCAACAGGTGGCACCAGGAAACCCCTCGGCTCTCGGCGGTCGCCTTCATGGCGCTGAGGCCCACCCCGTAGAAGCCCCCGGGATTCAGCGGGATGCGCTGCAGCCTCCCCGTGTGGTACCTGCCAGGCGGACGACTCAGAGTCTGGCTGGGCCTCAGGGAAGGACCTTGCGGGGTTTGGGAATGAACCGTTTGTTAAAGGAAGCCACAAGATGGAGGGATCATTGCCTCATTCCCTGCTGAGAACCAGCAAGCAGTGGATGGTTGACACTGGATTTCGGCAAACTAGTTTGTAACGTGGAACTCGTTCAAGCAACTGGGGGGAGTGGTGGTTGCTTGATTGCAGACGTGCAGAAAGCAGAAAGGTGAAAGGCAAAGAAAACCAGGGCTTCCTTTCTGAAGCAACCCGTTGGGCGTCTGTCTCCTCTGGCGTTGTCTTTGCAAGAAACTGAAAGGAAGCCGCCCATTTGGGGATTCCCATGGCCAAACACACCCATATTATATATATATATATATACAAAGTGACTAGATGGTGGTTTAGACGCCAAATGATACCATATGCTCCCTTGGAGGTGCAGTTTGACCCGCACAATGAACAGTTGGCACAAACATAACTGCAAGGCTCACCTAAGAAATGCATTTACGCTGCTCACCTTGGACTCGGCATTTATTCTGTGCCCAGAAGTGGCAGCATGTATCCCATGAGATGCCTGCAACATGCCCAGCCGCAGTCAGCATTCACTTATCAAGTGGCATCGGAATGTGGTGACCAACTCCCCTTTGCTGGTAATATGCAATTGTTACCATTGTTCTGCCTCCAAATGAATAACAAGCCGTTCTGTATATACATATATAAAATCATAGCTTGCCTCTTGATTTGGTGACTGCATCCGACTTCCTTTTCAGTAAATGACGCCTACTTCACTCCTTGAACGCAGCGGTTGCTCTCCGTGCCAATTTACTACTCCGGGTCTCTCTCAGAGGTCATTGGATCATTATACATTTCCACCCACAAGTTGCCCAGTCCTACCAAAACCGTTTAAATTTCAACATGAGTCACCGCAGCGTTGGCGTGTCGGACGCGGCAACGTTCCACTAAAAATAGTCTTCCGGAGCCGGTGTGGAAAAACAGGGTCTCAGGCTCGAATCCCCCTGCTCTCTGCCAGCTCGTGTCTTCCGCTTCCTGTTGCCGAAAACATTGACAAGCACAGTGTTTCCACCGCCTTTCAGCGAAAGCGTTGAAAACTACCGTGTTTTTTCAGTATTCTTGGCCTCCTTCAGGAAATGCAAGGGAAAATACAGGGGACATGAAGGAGGGGAAATGACGGTGGAGTGGGGAAAAGGACAGGGAAATGAAGGGGAATTGGAAGGAAATGAGGGGAAATGATAGGAAATGACGGGACATAAAAAGGACATGAAGGGGAAAGCAAGGGGAGACGCGTGGGATTTGAAGGGCTAGTAAAGCGACAATAGATGGGTACTGCAAGCGAAGTGCAAGGACATAAAGGCAACTCGGGGGGAAATGACGCTGCAATGCAAACGCAATGCAAACCCTGCCTCGGCCCAACGCAGGCGAACTTAAAGGGACACGCAAGGGTGCAATGTCGGCAGACTGAGCCGCAGGCTCTAAAGTTTATAGGCAGCCCTGGTTGATCCTCCCAAGGGAAATATTAAGGACCCAAATATTTACGGTTGTCCTCGAGTGAGAAGTCCGCAGCGGTCTCTGCCTAAACTGGTGTCCAGAAAGGTTGTTTCGGCCAAGCAGAGCCTAAGGGCAACCAAGGCCCCCTTGTCAAGCTCCGGAAGCCAAAGGCAAAAGCTTAAAGGCAGCCTGGTTGAAAGTCCCCCTGTCCAATAACATGGAACCTGACTGAGGTTCCATGTTAGTGGACAGGAGCTCACTCTCTCTGCTCCCAGGTGCGAGGTATCGTAGCCACCCACGTTGAACTGGCCACCCCACCTGGGCCAAATGGCTAGCTCACAATTCAACCCGTCAGGTACATGTCCATAGCAGACCCCGCCAAGCCGTCCATGGGATTGAATTTTGATTAAGTGCTAAACTGTTACTGTTGCTAAACTGTTTGCTCGATTTGGTGCTGAAAGACTCACAGCTGGGCGGTGACTCCCAATGTGGATGTCTGGTTCACAACTCTCCCATCCCTTCCATTTTGTCATGTGATGTTGCGTACTGTCAGGGTACCCCGCAGCAACTGATGTATGGCATGGTGCGTAATGTGATGTCCTAGTATGTTTTGTTCAGTGAAATAAAACATGCGCAGCAGCGGTGTGTGTGTGTGAGAATATATAATTGTATTGATGTGACGCAGTGAGGTGTGATGTCAAGTAATATTGTGCCGTAAGGGATGTTGAGAGCTCCCCGCCAGATTGCCAGCCCCCTCCCCTTCTGCTTGCTTGCTTCAAAAAGCCCCTGATACGTTTGCCCGTCGAAACAGACATCCAATCTGGCCCTTGGCCCAGTGGCTCGGAGGTGTTCCCCCCGGGAATGACGACAGCCTGGGAAAAACAAACAGCGCCGAACAGCCCACAACCAAAAGAAAACTGGCTGCGGAGTGCCCTCTGTTCACCTTGAACACCAAGCGCAAAGGGGAGGCCGCTTTAATTGCAAAGCACCACAGTTGACCAGTTTGGCATAACTACAAGGCGAATCAACTGTCGGGGGGGGGCATGCATCGATCACCTGGCCATTTGGTGCACCCACCTTGACCCCCAGAGACCCGGGCTCTGCAAGGCAGATAGAGAAAACTTTGTGGCTCACGTGCTCCCGGTCCTGCGGCCGAAAACGGAACCCTCCTCGAACATACCTTTGGATCCCACCCCCACGGTGAGGATTGCTTTCATAAAGGCTTGGAGAATCCCTGATGGGAACATTCCCACTGGGTGATTCATGGGGTGGGAACCCCATTTTAAGGGGTCTCCGGATCACTTTTGCGGGACAAAAGACCATATATCCGGCAGGTTGATTAATCTCTCTTCCCTACAAAGCACCATTTCAACACCAATCAAATTTCCCGTTGGCTTCCCTGGAAACAAGCAGAAGGCGGTACCCGAAAACAAGACACAAAACCCGACCCCCCCACCCCTACCCAGACCTTGAATGGCACCTTTTTGGTAGTTGACTCAAGAGAGAGTCCAAACAATGTTAACCCCGGATTAATAAACCCCGTTGATTGATAAGGGGGTGTCCCCTTTTAGTGGGGATTCATCACTTTTGGAGGGAACACCCCCCTAATAATGGGACGGGTTTATTAATCCTGGGTCAACTTTAGAAAGGCGAAAAGGTCACCACCCGAAGCACTCCCCCCCCCCCAAGAACCAAGAACTTCAGTCCTTGAAGATCTTCTCCAGGATCCCCTCCCCGCTCAGCGAGGAAGGGCCGATGCCCATGATGCCGTTGGCCTCCAGTCAAAAAAAAACACGGGGAGTTGGTCCGACAAAAGGAGCAGCAAAAACGCTTTCTAGAGTTGATTGCGTACCCTCCCACTTTTCTGCGGCTTACCTGACGAACGGAAGTCCCTAGTTTGTTCATTTCAAGGAGTCGCACTGACTGGTTTCATCGCAATGTGGATGCGAGGGCCCAACTTGCTCTTACAATGCCATATTGAAATTGAGTACGGGAAGCTCAATGTGCAATGTCAGTGCGATCCTCTTCTTCGACAGTCCAACCCCCACGCTCCTTGCCTCTCTGTACTGGCCCAGTGGTTCCGCATGGAAATCGGACACTCAGTTGTGCGCATGCGCATATTCAAGAGAAACTCATCCACGAAAAAAGAAAAAAAAGGAAACACTAACGGAGGAGTGCGTCTTCAAGGGAAACCCCTCCCCCGAATCCAAGGTCTGGGGTGGGCTAGAATTTGACTGGTTGGAAAGCTAGTAACAAGGGAGTAAATTAGGGTTGACTAGGGGGGTTGTGGGTTGACCTGGTCTCCAAGGGCTAACTAGGTTTACTTGCAGCGGGGTTAAGCGGGCGTGCAATCCACGCAAGGCAAAGCCCATCGCGCAAGTCCGGAGCCAGTCTCGGCACCTCTTCCTCGCGCCTTCTGAGTGAAGAACAGGTTGTTCTCGTTCGAGTGGCAGCCCATCCTGCAAAAACGCCCCCCCTCACCTGCTCCGGTTGTCACGGAACCCAAAACGGGTGAAACTGGCTTGAGTCACACAAACACACGAACAAAAACATGAAGCAAACAAACAAACAAACAAACAAACAAACAAGCAAACAAGCAAGCAAACAAACAAACAAACAGGAAAGCAAGCAAGCAAACAAACAAACAAACAAGGAAAAAGCAAGCAAGCAAGCAAGCAAACAAACAAACAAACAAACAAGCAAACGGGAAAGCAAGCAAACAAGCAAGCAAGCAAACAAGCCAACAAGCGAACAAACAAGAAAGCAAGCAAACAAACCAACAAGCGAACAAACAAGCAAGCAAGCGAGCAAGCAAGCGAGCAAGCGAGCAAGCAAGCAAGCGAGCAAGCAAGCGAGCAAGCAAGCGAGCGAGCGAGCGAACGAGAAAGAAAGAAGGGCAAGCAAGCAAGCGAGCAAGCAAACAAGCAAACAAGCGAACAAGCGAACAAATAAACAAGCCAGCAAGCAAGCGAACAAACAAGCAAGCAAGGGAGCAAGCAAGAAAGGCAAACAAGCAAGCGAGCAAAGCAAACAAGCAAACAAGCGACCAAACAAGCAAGCAAGCAAACAAACAAGCAAGCGAGCGAGCAAACAAGCAAGCAAGCGAGCGAACAAGAAAGCCAGAAAGGCAAGCAAGCGAGCGAGCGAACAAGCAAGAAAGGCAAGCGAGCAAGCAAGAGAAGAAACAAGCAAGAAAGCGAGCGAGCGAGCAAGAAAGGCAAGCAAGCAAACAAGCCAACAAGCGAACCAACAAGCAAGCAAGCGAGCAAGCGAGCGAGCGAGCGAGCAAGACAGGCAAGCAAGCAAACAAGCGAACAAGCGAACAAACAAGCAAGCAAGTGAGCAAGTGAGCGAGCGAGCGAGCAAGCAAGCAAGCCAACAAACAAGCAAGCAAACGAGCAAGCAAGCAAGCGAGGAAGCAAGCGAGCAAGCAAGGTAACAAACAAGCAAGCAAGCGCGCGAGCAAGTGAGCAAGCAAACGAGCAAGCAAGCGAGCGAGCAAGCAAGCAAGCAAGCCAACAAACAAGCAAGCAAACGAGCAAGCAAGCAAGCGAGGAAGCAAGCGAGCAATCAAGGTAACAAACAAGCAAGCAAGCGAGCGAGCAAGTGAGCAATCAAACGAGCAAGCAAGCGAGCAAGCAAGCGAACAAACAAGCAAGCAAGCGAGCAAGTGAGCGAGCAAGCAAGCAAGCAAGCAAGCAAGAACAAGCGAACAACGAGCAACAAGCAAGCAAGCAAGCGAGGAAGCAAGCGAGGAAGCAAGCGAGCAAGCGAGCAAGCAAAGCAAACAAGCAAGCAAGCAAGCAAGCAAACAAACAAGCAAAGCAAGCGAGCAAACAAGAAGCAAGCGAGAACGAGAAAGCAGAAAGGCAAGAAAGGCGAACAAGCAAGAAAGGCAAGCGAGCAAGCAAGAGAAGAAACAAGCAAGAAAGCGAGCGAGCGAGCAAGAAAGGCAAGCAAGCAAACAAGCCAACAAGCGAACCAACAAGCAAGCAAGCGAGCAAGCGAGCGAGCGAGCGAGCAAGACAGGCAAGCAAGCAAACAAGCGAACAAGCGAACAAACAACCAAGCAAGCGAGCAAGTGAGCGAGCGAGCGAGCAAGCAAGCAAGCAAGCCAACAAACAAGCAAGCAAACGAGCAAGCAAGCAAGCGAGGAAGGAAGCGAGCAAGCAAGGTAACAAACAAGCAAGCAAGCGAGCGAGCAAGTGAGCAAGCAAACGAGCAAGCAAGCGAGCGAGCGAACAAGCAAGAAAGGCAAGCGAGCAAGCAGGAGAAGAAACAAGCAAGAAAGCGAGCGAGCGAGCAAGAAAGGCAAGCAAGCAAACAAGCCAACAAGCGAACAAACAAGCAAGCAAGCGGGCAAGTGAGCGAGTGAGCGAGCAAGCAAGCAAGCAAGCAAGCGAGCAAGCAAGCGAGCGAGCGAGCGAGGAAGCGAGCGAGCGAGGAAGCAAGCAAGGCAAGCAAGCAAGCAAGCAAGAAGGGCAAGCAACAAAGCATGCATGTATCGCACAAAAGCGACCCAGGGAAGCAACGCCTTACCCGTTCGGACTGCCAGTCACTCGGTCATGTGCAAATCTCACATGGAAAGAAAGGGTCGGAAGTGGACATCGGCCTTTGACCCGCGCTTTCATTTTTCTTAAGTCAAAACGCGATGTGAAGAGAGAGTCGTAGTAGTTCTAAATATGATCTTTTTGGTTTAAGATATAAAGTTTAAGTAACGTTGGTTGGGTTGAATAAGAAGTCACTAGGTTTGTTCAAATTTGATCGCTTTGCTCTTCCTTTCCGTTACTTTCCATGTGTTCTCCAATTCCAATTCGTCATTCCATTACTCTCCATTCCTAGCTAGAAGTGCCTCAGGCCAGCCCGGGCCGGAAAAAGTAACCGTTTCGCAATTTCCCGTGTAAAGCATTTTACAGCGGCGAGTGCCCTTTCCAATTCCTTGACATGTCTTCCATGTCCCTTTCGGTATTTGTTCATGTCCTTTCCGTGTCCTTACAACTCCCGTTTCAGGTGTTTGTTTCCGCTGCTATTTTTTGCTATTCCCTTTGTAATTGTGTGACCATTCTCTTTCATGTGTTCCACGCCGCTTTCCATGACTGTGTTCATTTCATGACCATGTCCTGTTCATTCGTTCGATTCCTGTCATTGGCCTTTCATAAACATAGTTCTCCTTTGCTACTAGATGGCTCTTCGTTTCAAAGCGTGATGCTACGATCCTGATGGATCTCGTAAATAGAAAACGTGAACTGTCATAAGCACCGGAAAGAGCGAAATATAGGAAGCACGCTTTGGAAATGGAGTTGTACACTTCGTGAAACGAAGCAAGGCAGAACACGAGAGACACAAATAAGGAATAAGGAACACTGAGCCTTCTCAACAAAGAAAGCTTAGTCGAGGAGAATTCGGAAAGACCAGACTAAGCTGATGTGTTTGTGTTGTATTTGGCAATTGCTCTCTTTCATGAATTTGTATTAATTGAAGTGTTTTTTTTGGGTTTCTTATGCGCCATACTCACGCACGCACACGCGCGCGCGCGCCACATTTGGTGCAATATCTCCCCCCCATCCCCGCATCCTTTTCTGCGCGGGCGCAAAACAAATATCAAATATCCCAAAGGTGGGTGTAGAAATGAAGGCTTGTTCACGATGCCTACAGTAACAAGGGCGGTGTTTCACTTGGGAAACCACGCGACCAAGTCCTTTCGTACTTCAAAGTTTGCCTGTCAGCCAAACCAAAACATCCATTGCGGTTTCTCGCACATGAAAGGTATCCAGCCACAACTCGCGCAGCTAAAGACAAGTCGTCAAGTACAAACCAATTCCCCCAAACATGCGAAGCTACATGAATATCCTTTTGGTGGACCTCCCTTTCTGGCTCCGAGCAAGTCGACACACTCTGGGCGGGGTATCCAAGGCCGGTCCAAGGCCCCTCTTGCAGAAAGATGATTCGTCTCTCCCTTACCAGCACCGCCGTCTCCTTTTGGGTGCACAGATTGGCAGAGGAAGCAACTACTTCTGGGGGGACAAACGCACATGTTTCCAAGCAGGCAGTCTTAAACTCCCTGACACTTTAGCCGGTCCACTTTGCCCACTTAGGCGTGAGGTCCAGAGATGCCCGACACCCCTTGGGGCTCTCAAAAAGCAGTGCTTTTCGCAAACCCCAACGTGGCCGTCCCGTAATTTTCCCAACCCGCTGATCGGCCGTTTTTTGGTTTTCTCGGACAAAAGGCCATGTCCCCCGCCCCCTTTCGCCTGGCTTTGACCTGCGGGTTGTGCTGGATCATGTCCCCCAGGCTGACCTTGTCCTGAGAGTCCCGCGCTCTTCTCCACTCAGGAGGGCATTTGGGCAACGGGGAAACTGTCCTACAGGATAGGGGCCCACTTTTGACGGTGGTCATGAAATGGCCACCAAAAGAAACCCACCAATTTTGCGGGTTCCCATTTACAGAGGTCCACATAGAATGTCCCATTGAACCATCGAAATTGAAAACCATGTTCCGCCAAAGGAAGCTTCACTTTCACTTGGCCTTTCCAAAGATGTCTGGGAAAATCATCGCAGACAAGCTCCAAGGAGCCAAGCATTGTCCAACAAAATGGATGATGAGTCAAACCGCGAGTTGTACTAGCAACGTTATAAGGAAGACCGGCGTCTGAACCAACAAACCAAGCTCTCAACAAAACACGTCCGCGCGTGAACAGAACTAAAGTCTTGGATGAACGCGCTGCTTCCAGCCTCTTAGCCTCCGTCCGCTTGAATCTGCTGCAAGTGTCATCACAGTGGCACTTTGGTGGACCTTGGGCTTTCGACATTGCGGGGCCTAGATAGAAATGCTTATTCCTGCTCCTTTTGTTTTCCCCCCGTGTCATCATTCAACAAACACCGTCAAAGATCTGAAGACACAAGTCGCGGCATGGAAGCGGGCGGCCCACCCACTTTCACCCTGCCCCACGGTCACCCATATGTCATTTGCTCTCAGGAATGCACCAGTCGGGAGAAATTCGCCGGGAAATCATGTGCATATATGCATGCATTAAATACATGAGCCATGAAAAACAACACTTGTTGGCTTGCGATGAATTACACATTATACGCGCGCGCGTGTCTGGACGTCCGAATTCCGCCCGCCTCAAACCAGAACCCTGAGATGGAGGATCCTTCCGTGTAACCTGCCAAGGCCAGGCAAGAACCTATTTATCCCAGGTTCGTCACTGGTGTTGCAAACCAACACTCGAGCACAAGGTCGAATTTCTTGCAGGCTGCGGCGAAGCGCATCCCCGGCATTACTCGCATCATTTGGGCACGTTTGACAATGAGGCACCATACTGCGCCACACAATTCCAAATGATGCTGGTGATGCTAGGGATGCTTACACATTGCCATGGTCCACCCCACAAGAAAGCATCAACTGCTGGAAGGTGATCTTAGGAAATGTCTTCCTTCAAGAAGACCCTTGAATTGCCTAGAAGGGCAAGAGGCAAACCGCCCATTTAGGCGTTCAACGAATCTCGCGGCGGGCCTTGGTAGTAGCTGCACTTGCCAGACCTCAGCACCATCGGGGACCCATGGAATCATACCAGGGGGGCAAGGGTGTCCTTTTTAAGGCAAACCAGATAGCCCTGATAGCCATCTATTTTTCCAGCAAAACAACCAAAAAGGACACCTAACTGTTGGGGCATTAAATGACTCCACATCCCCATTGAGGCTCCTTTTTCAAGGGAGCCCGCGAGCTCAAGTAGGTCTCGACCCGGCGTGCCCATGGGCATGTCTCACCTGTTGACATGGTCTCCTGATTCCAAATCACGGGGCTGAAGCAAAGTGGAAGAAAATCGAACTTAGCCTGAGTTCTACTGTAGATCCTTTCGAGTGTCACCACGCAATTCTGAAACCTTTGGTCATTGTGGGGGGTCTTCCCGGAAGTCGGCTGAACATGCTGTACCAAGGCTTGCGGGACGTCACGAAGATCATCGCATCAGTCCGGCCAGGAAGAGCTTGATCAGGATTTGCTTTGTACAAATCAGGACTGGATCGCGCAATGGTGTGAGGCGCAGAGATACTTCAAACTGAAGCAACATGCACTCTCCAAGGTGGGTAGAGAGATCCACCTGCCAGAGCTTTGCGAAAGATGCTCAAGACGTTCCTGTCCACATCTCATGATTCACGTGATCATTGATGACGCTCAAAATGCTTCGATCATCATGGCTTGAATCCAGCTTGACACCATTAGGCAAGAGCAGCAAGAGACTGCTGGCGGGCTTCAGGCTATAAGCACTTTCCCAAGCATGCTGGCAACGTTCCTCACTGTGCGTGCCATACGTCGCAGTGTACCACCCGGAGAACTCTTCAGCGGTGTAGAACTTTCCATCTCGTGCCAATCGCATCTCGACGCCCACTTTCTCCTTCAAGGCCTCTCGGATTTCTCCTACACTCATGTCTGCAGCTGCGTCAGCCGAAAAGATGTCCTTGCCTGACATATTGCAGCATCGGAGCGAGAAGGTGTCCACAGAGTTTTCTCCAATCATTTGTTGGGGAGGCTGCTGAGTATGCAGTGTGACAGCATAGGTATGCTCACGCAAATGTTTCTCCCGCTGCCACTCAATCCAGCAAGATCGGCAATACTCAGCTGAATTGGATTTTCTGAAGCCCCCAGCAGCTTTCAGGCAGGAGGTACACTCGTACACGAAGGCATTGCACTGCCTGCATTCGGAAAGTACATCAGGGTTCCACCATGTGTGACCACAGCTGCCACAGCGTACATTGTCGGGACTGGGAGGGCGGTCCACGCAACGGCCACATTTATGCGCACAAGTCACAACACCACCAAAGCGGTAATGGCGGGACATTGCAGAATGTAAGACGAACTGAGGTTCATAGAGATTCTGTGCGTCAGGAGCCATCTGCTGCGATTGCCTGGGGCGAGCTCACCAACAGGAAGAGCTTTATCAGGATGTTGTTGCTTGAACGCAATGGCAGCGGAACCGTTTAGGTCCAGGCCATTGTCCCTTCTGAGCAGAACACTAGCGAGCACTGTGTGCTTTTGTCAGGGAGACCCGTGAATGGTCTCATGATGCTATGGCTCCCCTGCTTCAAATCCCGATTTGTCTCGCCCCGATAATTTGACTGACACCCAGGCTCATAGTCCCCAAAAGTAGAGCCAACTCCGTTGTTCAAGTCAACAAGCAGACCCCTGTTCACACGAAGTCGCCTCAATATGCCTCACCAATGCGGGGCGTGATTTGTTGGTCGCATCATTCCTTTTAGGAAGAAGTATTGATTGATGGAGGTTGCAACCCAAAAGTCGGCCTTCCGACTTTTGGGGGGGAGGAACTTTGGCAGTATGGGTCAAAATTAAACAAACAAAAAAAAGAAGATTCTGGTCCATGCGTCCATTTACCAGGGCTCCATTTTGGGGTAACCCGAATCACCGCCTTCTCAGCTCAGCCCCCAGGCGAGCAGCGGCCCACCGGGCAGCGCCCGGAGGAGCACTGCAGCCAGGAGGAGCTGCTGCTCTTCGCCACGTCGAAGCTGCGGAGAAAAAACGGCGACGGGGGGCCGCTGCTTGGCTTTGGAAGATGTTTTGGTTTGGGGGTAACCAGGGCTGGGCCAAGGTGAATATGTTTGGTTTGGTGGCAACCAGAGGGCTGAGCCAAGCTCCTTGATTAAAAAAAATGCTTGAGCCACGGTTTGAACGACCTCTTTTTTTGGTTTCCTTTTGGGCAATCACGGGCAAATCTTGTAATATTTGGCTTCCCGCCGTTTCTGCTCCTCTCTTCGCTTTTGCCAGCGATTGGGGATGGAAGTAATCTTCAGTCCAATGCATTCTTTACGCAGGCGTCTTTTGACAGATTAGAGCCGCTACTCAAGAACGGTTCAAAAGGATTCGGCAACAAACGTTGCCACAGAATCCAACTGTTTACCCCAACGCTGAGTTACTTAAGAGAAGCTCGGTAAGACTTCCACACGGGAACCCCGGAATGCAGCGTGTAAGGTTAGGGGCCCTTCAACAGGAACCTTGGATCTTGAAGGCTACCCAAAGGGGCAGAGGCAGGCAGAGGCAACACGTGGGGCGTGTGGTTTTTGAGGGTATCGGTTTTCCCCCGTTTAAGGGGAAACCAAAAGTCAAGCCACCATTTTGACACATACCTACCTGCATGACCAAATGGAGTCGGCCCGCTTTTTGGGGATCCCTTTGCAGCTCAAAATGCACAAGAGCCCCCGCGGCGACTGGAACCAGGTGATACCAATACTAGCTGAGACAACATACGTCTGACATTGAGACTGGCTCGGAGTTTGCCCCTACTGTGGATGGACAAAATTCCGCACTAGTTGGCAGGTGGTTTATCCCAATATGCATGGGGGGTCATTCACTTCAACTGGTGCAGAAGTTCGTCCATCCACGAGTTGAGCAGAAATTCGAGAAACATGCAGCCACCAATTCGGGGTTTGCATCGGAGCTTTTCCCTGACTTTCATGGCAATGTGGGTGGGAGGGTACCTTTCTTTCCCCATACTGTCAAAGACCATTAAAAGGAAAGTCCACCATAAACCATCAAGAGGAAAATGTCCTTTCCGAAAGATGCCTTCTCTTTCTACGACCCGGCATGGGTCCCAAAGCTTGTAGCCCTCCTCATGAGTTGCTAAAGCCTCCGTAAAGCCCCCACCCCTTGAACCCGAGGTGAGGAGACGAACCTCTCAGCCTTTCACGAGTCTGCTTTCGGGGTTGCCTCCAAATTGACTGAAAGCCGTTTTTCCCGAGCCCTTGTTAAAGCATTGCTTCTTCCCAAGCTCCTTTCGTTCCCGCCCTTGGAATAAAAAAATCAGGGCTTGATTGTTTAAACACATCTTTCATC